ATATATATATATATATATAATTTTAGAGGCACTAGTATATGTTAGGAAAAAGCCATTATAACCTACCTTTTCTTTTCTTGGAGTAGCTTTGCTTGGTGCTGGAGTTCTCTGAAGCTCACGTTTCTTAGGAAGAACCACAAAGAAAATGCCATTTTTGAACGAAAAAGCACTTGTTTCCTCGTTATCTTTTCCTCTACCATTTTTTCACCACGTCTTTAACCTTCATTGGCTGATACCCTTTAATCCAAAGTTCTTGTCGCTGCTCTTTATTTTATTACCACTTTTACTTTTTTTTTTTTTTAATGAATTTCAAATTTGGTAAAGGGTCTTTTCGTCTTTTAAAAATATTATTTTAGCAAAACATCGTGGACTTAACATGTGTAATTAATTCTATTAAACTCAACCGTTGAATTGGATGACAAAAGAAAAGTACAGTTAATTAAATTAAATTAAAGATCTGTAATGCTTAATTTAATATTTGAAGATGAAAAAATACAACTAAAACAATAATGTAAGGACTAAGGAGATAAAATACCTTTTTTTCCCCTATTATATAAAGTTATTTAAAATATCTCCGAGCTCCACATGTGTACAATTTAAATCTATAATTGCATAACACTTTAATGCCACCAATTCCCAGGGAGCAACACAACCGCGATGAGACCAGAGTTACAATTTAAAACTCGGTTAACTTTATATTATGCACATGATATAAATGAATCTCTTATCACGGACAACAGAATCACACAAATTTATCTTTTTTTTTTACTTCAATTACAGATCATTATAGTTTATCAGACCCCAAAATTGTTGTAGGGAGGAAAGTAAAAATTATAATAAAAAATATCGCATTTATGACCCCCAATGGAGAAAAACCAAGCTTTTACAAATACACAAGGTAGAAGCAAAAAATAGAGTACTTAATTCTTTTAAATGTACCTCAGTCATTCCCTTTAGTGGGAGCAAACAGCAAACCTGTTCTACCTTGCGATTACACATTGTGATTTGTGATTCAAGCATACAGCAGAGTAATTTTCACATGCCGCAGCTTAGTAAAACTTCAATTACACTTAACATTGTATTCTTCATAATCAAAATCTCATTAAAATTGATCCCTCCCTCTTCCACAATTTGCTAGCTGTTTATATCATTGTCAATGTTCAAACTCCAACCCTAAGCAGGGTGCCCTCAAAATTCTGAGAGTAAAATTGACATCACATCATCTTGCAATGAATAACGGTATCTCACACCACGCTATGTTCATCTAATCATCTCTAACAAATTGAAAACTCTAGTAGGGAAGAATTGAGTTTAGAGCTTAGATTCACGTAACGGGAGAATGACCTTTTCATAGACACCGGGCTCATGTGTAAACACTCTTCAATCGACGAACGACGCATTGTTTTACACGTTTTTGAGTAGAAGTAACCACCATTAACCGTGTCCAAAATTGTGTCATCATGTTTATCATCATCAACAACATGATGGCTTTGAGATTCCGTAGAACAAGAATCCACAATTACCGAAACAGGATCAATTGAAACAGACCCCATCTCTGTTTGATCATTCACCCGTTCCTTAGAATTTGATTCATCAATATTCAACTCTAGTGCTTCACTTGATTCCCCTGCACCAGTTTCGATAACATTGATGCTTAGCCCACCTTCATTCCTTGAAGTCTCCAAAAGGGTCTCTTGAATTCTTCCCAAGTTTGCATTTTCTTGGTCCGTGGAACCCAAATTGGAGACAACTGCTTGAGGTGTAACACTGTTGTTGGAGACAATACCAGCACGACAAAGGGGACAATTGGTGTGTGATCTGAGCCACGTGTCAATACAGGGGACGTGAAAGGCGTGGTTACACTTGGGCAAGAGTCTTAACGTGTCCTCTTCTTGGAACTCGTTCAAACACACCGAACACTCGGTTCCTTCGACCAACCCTTCGTTTCTCTTGTACTTGCACACCGTAATGGAGTTAATGATCGATTGTTGCAACCCAACCGTGGCGATGAGCCACACGGGGTGGTCGACTTGGTTCTCGTTGAGAAACTCCTCGGTGGTGTCGGATTGAGAGGGAACGGAACCGTTGACTCGCCAGCCACACCATGCAGCGTAGCACTTCACTTTGATCACGTAGAAACCCACCACGACAAAAATGACGGCGAATAGCGTCACGAGGATGACCAAGTACGAGGATATGTGGCTGACTTGGTTTGAATGTTCTGAAAGGGAGGGTGGTGGTGGAGAGAAGAAGAAGTCTTGGTTGGGGTAACAGTTGTAAGGGCACTCTGGGTGGCAAAGGCCATAGCAATCTTGGGTTTGGTTTGTGGTTGTTGTTGGTTCATCGGGGAAGAGTTTTCTGTGTTTGGTAGCCATTGAAGTGTGTTTTATGAAGAAATTTAGGGACAGAGGAAATGAAGAGTGGGGTTGTTACTGTGAAGCGTGAGGTGGATTTTGTTTGGACTAAAAGAGAAGGAATATTTTTATTTGTTTTTGTTTGGGTGTCACTTTCGAAGGTTTAGGAAGCTCTCATTAATGTGTTGTTTGTTGGGTTTGGTAATCGGTAATTAGGTTGAGAGAACCTCCGTATCTTGTTTTTTGGTTGGTTTATTAAACAAGTAACAAATTAGAGTAGTTCGGGTCTCACTAAAAAGAATTTTCAATTAGTTCAGGTATCGCAATTTGTCCCTGTCCAACTTGTTCGATTAATCCTTGGTAATTTCGTTTAGTAAACCGGTAGGAAAAAAGGGTTTTAATGCAACTCCAGTACCAATTTACTTGCTTCTAGTAAGCAAATAATTCTTTCTTTTTCTCTCTGCTCTATAAATAGCAAAGGAAAAATCATGAAAACCTGAATTCATCTAGAATGAATAAATTTGTAAAATGGAAAAGTAAAGTATGTTTATCCTTAATTTAAAGAGAGTTAAGTTTTTTTTTGTTTTTTTTTTTAAACCAGAGAGAAAGTCAACACTTTCAATTCAAATCATATGCTTTGTACTTCTCCAAGCTAAATCCCAAAACATGCATTTATATTTAAGCAATAGAAGAGTAGTTCCTACTTCCCATGGAACATGTTGCACAAAAACATTACGATACTCAGTTATCCATTTTTATTTTTATTTATAACAATATTATTGATGTGAATAATATTTATTAACTTTATTGATAAACTATTTTTCTTATCAAGAATACCCTACTACTTTTAATAGGCCTACTTCTCTTAATCAAATTGTTTCTTCATTCACAAGAATGATTAGTTTTTGTTAAAATAGAATAAGATTTTTATTTCTTTTAGTAAGTTGAGCTGATATAAATTATATAAGATCATAATTTTTTAAGTAGTAATATTCGTTTGAAAAATATATATTTATAGAAATATATATACATAAATTTATATTATATTATTTATATAATAGACCATTTTATAATATATATATATAAAATAAAACAACAAAACCAAAGATAAAGAAATAGACAAGCATATGCACGGATGCAAAGGAAGGAATCAATATGTGCGCTGATGAAAGACGGGTTAACATGTGCAAAAAATTTTAAATGATAAGGTAAGTAAATAGTGGAAAAGATAGAGTAATAATCTATACTAATAATAAAAGGATATAACATTTTTTGGTATTTATAATTTATTTTTTAAAATTTTTAATTAATTACCTTAAAAAAATTATACACAATTAAAAAAATTACTTATTAATTAACTATTTTAAAAAAAAAAAACTCTTATTCTTTAGAAGGTTCGGAATGCTTTTTATCCAACTTATGTAAGGATAAGATAAATGTCAAAAAAAAATTATGAAAAACTCTTGAAGAAGTAAAATTGTATTATGCATGAAGTTCTATAAATAGGTAGTGATTTTCATGTCTTTCCTTCACGCTCATTCAATTTGTTTTACCCATGTAAAAAAAAGGGGAAGAGAGATTTATTTGTATAAGAACATGGAATAAATTTCTCGCCTTCTATTCGTAAATTCTAAATCCTAAACTCTAAATTATTATAAAGAGAGGGAGGAACCATTTATCACATTTTAAAAATTAATAATAAATATAATTATAATTATTTGGTAGAGTATCCTTATAATCTCATCTTGTTAATTTATTTTATGCTACCTACTTAATATTGATATATTAATTAATCATTCTTATTTCGTTTAACATTACATGTATGTTAGTTGTGTGCCCTTTAATTCATTTTAATATTTTAATTTTTGTTTGGAAATATTTTAATTAAAATTTTACTTCCAATTATATAAAATGACGTTATATTCATTTAGATTTTTTAATATTATAATGTATCGGTTATTTATATATTTTATAATATTTTTAATTATAGTTATAATTTTTTTACGTGACTTATACTGAATCGGAAAAGTGGGTATATATATAATATATAAATATATAGTTTAACAAAAATAATAATGATTAATATAGTAAGAGTTAATCACCTATACATTGTCCGTGTAAAGTTTTTTTACACTGGCAACCAATCTCTTAATAGTGTCATTTCAGTTGCTTATTTAATGAAATAAAAATAAAATAAACTAATTTAAAAGATTTGATTAGTTATCAGTGTAAAAAACTTTATACTGACAATGTATGGATGATTAAGTCATATAGTAATATATATTATTTTTAAATTTATTATGATTAGAAAATTATTGTAATGGTATTTATTAACTAATATGATTATGTATGAGTAGTAAAAATTTGAATTCATTTGTAGTTGAAAGTTTAACATTGGAGATTTAAATAAGTATATATTTGATCAAGATAAAATATCCTTGTATTATTGAAATCTTGATAAAAACTCATTTTTCCTGACTAATTATTACAAAACTATAATTAAAATCTTTCCACGAAGTAGAGTTAAAATTCGTACTTAAAAAAATAATATATATATATATATATATTGTGTTTTTTTATTTACCTATTTACTTTATATGATATATGTTCTTCCTTCCATTATGTTTCTTGTTTTCTTTAGTATTTTTTCTTTTTAAAAAATAATTATAAATTGATTAAATAGATGAATTTACCTAATATTGATTTTTTCACCACAGTGATACATGCCATTTTCCTTGCATTACAGTAGATAATAGATACACAAAACAACAACATCACCTTTAAAGGACAATTCTTCGATAATAATACTTTCAAACAATTCAATGATAATCATCCTTGATAGCATAGTTTTAAAAATTGGACCGGTCATCAAACCGGTTAAGGTACTGGATCAGTGGATCAAAGGTTGAATCGGTGGGTCATTAGTTGAACTGCATGACTCGATTTTTATTTATTTCTATTAAAAAAATATTCATATTAAATATATTTTATACTTATAAATTTTAATAAATTCATATCTTATTTTAAATTTTAATTTTTCTATCTTATTTAAAATTATTTTTATTTTTATTTTGTAAAAAATATATAAAAAATTACATATTAAACTGTATATTAATACAAATTAAAAATATAAATAATATGTACATATATAATATGCTTGCAATTGATATCACAAAATAATATATGTAATATCTACATA